CTGGTAGGACTGTGTGTTTTGTAGTTGGCAGGATCTGCTTCCAGTTCCAACACTAGTTCTGAATATCTCCCTTCTCACACCTTGCAAGGAACACTGCTTGCCAGCAGATCCTCATTGCCATCTGCAGTGAGCTTGGCAATGTTTAAGTCAAGAACGCCTCCACTGAAAACTCCCGAAGGAGCCCCGTGGAGGAGATAAGCTGGGACTCTGTTGCCAGGGAATGACACCAGCGATCTGCTTCCAGTTCCAACACTAGTTCTGAATATCTCCCTTCTCACACCTTGCAAGGAACACTGCTTGCCAGCAGATCCTCATTGCCATCTGCAGTGAGCTTGGCAATGTTTAAGTCAAGAACGCCTCCACTGAAAACTCCCGAAGGAGCCCCGTGGAGGAGATAAGCTGGGACTCTGTTGCCAGGGAATGACACCAGCAGTGGGGGGAGATGAGGATCATCAAGTTATCTTATCTAATTCAAGCAAATAACCCTGCACCCGGCCCGTGTGGTTTTACCAATGCCTGGAGCGCCTCTGAAATGATGCTAAGCCAGGAACTACTCAGTTCCACCTGTCGCTTCATTTTTAATTCACTCCTTTCCGCACCTGTGTGTGTCTGGATTGCCAGGGTCTCAGAGCAAAGGGCGGCCAGACACGGCCATGCATGTTGTGCAACCCTACGGGAGGTAAGGCATTACGGCGCTTGTGTCTGTTTAAGCAAGAAGCAACTTCATTTTAAAACAATCATTTTAGGCTACTGTCTGAAAGAGGGAACAAAATGCAAAAGTGCACATGGGGGACATCCACATTAGGGGGGTGGCGGAGATTTCTGTTACAGCTGTTTTTATGATGTTTTTGTGATGATTACGGTAGCGCCTGAAGGTGTCAGCTGAGACTAGGGATTCATTATGCTGAATGCTGGACTAAGACAGAGAGACAGTTCCTACCCTGAGGGGTTTGCAAGCCAGATACATAAGGCTGACAAATGGCACACGCAACAGATGCAAAATGAGTTGCTCAGCATCAGAAGTACAACCAGGAACAGGGCCCATGGGTACTGACTCCTGATCCAAGGCCCCACCCTGTTTGAAGCAGGGCTGTTGAAGGTTTTAATTGCCAAGCTTACGGCAGATTCTCCATCCCTTCGCCAGAAAAGGAATTTGTACAGTGTTTAAGAGCCATGTCATGTTGTTTCAGTCCCATCTCTCATAGGGCTCCCATTTTGACGTATGTAGACACACCTGGGGCGGGTGCTAAATTACAAGAAAAAAATTTAAAAGGAGAAAAAGTGTCTGTTCATTGGGCCCCTCAGCTGCCTCTTGTGCCGCTAGCCCTAGTGCCAAGGTCAGCGCTTCCTTTCCTAGTAATATGGGGAAGCTGTTGTGTCTCAGCATTAAATAAACCACTGCCCCCTCCCCCCCATACACACACACCCTGCAGGCCTTCACCTCCCCAACCTGCTTTATTGGACACCCAGTGAGCATGTGACAACGGGTTCCTGGGAGTGGCTGTGCCAATCATCGAAGTGATGAGAGAGGGAGCTGGGGCAGCTGTCCCCAATACTGGGGAATACAAGGGTTATCCCCGATTTCCACCCATAAGCCCATTTAGGTAACACAGCAAGGCAGAGTCTGGGACTGCCAGGCTAAAGAGGGAGGGGGAAAGATGGATTCCTTTTCCCCTGGCTGGGACCCCACCCATTCTCTACATACTTCTCCAGCTGCAATCAGTTATGTGGTAACTGGTTCCACACTTCACCATAGTCTGGAAGTTCCAAAACATAGTTTATAAAGTGCTTAGGGATGTCAAAAGCGATCGAAATGTTCCATCTATCTTGGCACTCAGCCTGTGCTCTGTGAACCCCAGGGGGTCAATCACTGTGAGAGCCATGCCACTCTGGAATTGTGCAGATCACCAAGGCGTGGCCATGAGAGCAGAGCATTCCCAGTCAAGGGATTCGACCATGGAACCGTCTTGCAGATGAGACCAGGTGAACCCAGAGTCCAAGCCTCTTTAGGAAGTGCCGCAAGGTCAGTTTGCATGAGGCAGATTGCCATCTCTTGTTCTACACTTTGCTAGCAGTGCCAGCCTTGTGGTGTTGTGCTCCTATGCCATTTGGGATGGGCATGCTCCCTTGACACCCTGTGTTTTTGTATCTTCCAATCTTGGGCTACGTCTAGACTGGCATGATTTTCTGGAAATGCTTTTAACGGAAAAGTTTTCCATTAAAAGCATTTTCGGAAAAGAGCATCTAGATTGGCACGGACGCTTTTCCACAAAAGCACTTTTTGCGGAAACGTGTCTGTGGCCAATCTAGACGCGCTTTTGCGCAATCTAGATGCTTTTTTGTGCAAAACAAATCTCAGCTGTCTACATGGCCCTTTTGCACAACAGTTTTGCGCAAAAGGGACTTTTGCCCGAACGGGAGCAGCATAGTATTTCCGCAAAAGGCACTGATTTCTTACAGTAGGAAGTCAGTGCTTTTGCGGAAATTCAAGCGGCCAGTGTAGACAGCTGGCAAGTTTTTCCGGAAAAGCAGCTGATTTTCCAGAAAAACAGGCCAGTCTAGACACAGCCTTGGAGTTTTAATAAACAAGTTGGTTTAGTGCCAGGAACGATGCTGGGAGTTTTCCACATAGGTTATCAACCCACATTTATTAAACAACTGATCACTCATCCTCTCTTAGCTCTTCAGTACCTTGCTTAATGCCAGATTGACTGTTTATCCACGGAACAGATGTAGAATGGCCCAGTGACAGTAAAACCTTCCCCATGCTGCTGCATTAACATAACTCAGTCTTGAACTAGAAGGATGACTTCTAGTGGGAGAGGGACACCAAATCTTCAGTATCTGTTGAACTAGCAGCAAAGGAAAACAGAAAGTTTAGGTTCAGCTAAATGTTTCATGAAAAGTGCTTTTTACAGAAAAATTTAACTTATCAGAAAACTGAATACCCCAACATTTTTTGGCCAAAACTTGTACATTTCAATTCAGAAATTTGCAGTGCCTCCTGGGAATAGTAGGTCTAGTCCCTCATGCATCTATCCCTTCTCTGGGTTCATCTCAGAAGGGACCATTATGATCATCTAGTCTGACCCCTTGCACAGTGCAGGCCACAGAATCTCACCCACCCCTCCTAGAATAATCCTCTCACCTATATCTCAGATATTGAAGCCTTCAAATACTTTGAAGACCCCAAGATGCAGAGAATCCTCCAGCTGTGATCTGTACCCCTTGCTACAGAGGAAGGCAAAAAACCTCCAGGGTCTCTGCCAATCTACCCTGGAGGAAAATTCCTTCCTGACCCCAAATATGCTCTCCCACAGCAAGCAAGCTCAGCAAGAGGAAAACTGTTACATGTCATAAGAGATGTAACTCAGCCAGGTGACTCTGGAAGATGCAGTTTAATGTCAAACCTACCTGGAAGGAAAGATTACAATTTGGTTCCACAAACCAAACCCAAAACAGATCTTTTGAATCATAGAACACTAGAACTGGAAGGGACCTCAAGAGATCATCAAGTCCAGTTCCCTGCTCTCACAGCAGGACCAAGCACCATCTAGATCATCCCTGATAGACGTTTGTCTAGCCTGCTTTTAAATATCTCCAGTGGTGGAGATTCCACAACCTCCCTAGGCAAGTGATAGAAATGTAGCTGTGTTAGTCTGGGGTAGTTGAAGCAAAATGCAGGACAATGTAGTCTTTAAAGTGCTACATTGTCCTGCATTTTGCTTCCCTAGGCAATTTACTCCACAATTTGTTCAGAATGGAACTTTTCTGAACCAAAAAGATTTTCGGTTGGGAGCTGACAGTTTTCAGTGTTCAGTTATTTGAGGAAAAGTTGAAATTTTCTTCAGAAAAAAAATTACAAAACGCATTTTCTGACCAGTGCTATGGGCAAGAATTCACTTTGAACTGTGGCTCACTTCCTCTTTTGTAAAATGGGACTACTACTGCCAAGTCTATTGGGAACGTAAAACCCATTAATAATTGTGCAGTGCTTAGATCCTGGGCTGGTGAGAGCTCTACAAGCAGAATTGCTGGGCAATCTAGACCCGTATTTCTGAAAACGTACCATGGAAACACTTTCAGAAACACTTGAACTGGCCACCGTGGTTTGTTTATGTACTGGTGCCACGGCCACAGAGCCTTGCAGCTCTCATTGGTCCCATTTAGTCCTTTGCAGCCAAGGGGAGCTACGGGAAGCGGCATGGGATGGACCACCACTTCCCACCACTTTGCCTGCAAAGGACGAAATGGAGCCAATGGGAGTCGCGAGGCTCCGTGGTTGTGGTGCTGGTACATAAACAAACTGGGGTGGCCAGCTGAAGTGTTTCTGAAAGTGTTACACTTTCAAAAACACTGATCTAGACCATTATTTGTGTTTCCAACAATGTCTAATGTCTAATGTCAACTGCTTCAAAGGAAGCTGTAACAAACCCTGTATTAGGCCGTTATGGAATAATGTTCCCTGGGGAAGATTTCTTCCTAGAGTTTAGATCCCTTCCAGAAGTCTTGTTTAAACTTTGGTTAATTACAGTGATAGTCCTGAACAGCATTATTGTCCATATAAATGCCCATTTCCTTTTTCAAATGATGCCAATGTCCGGGCCACAGGGATATTGTGTGGCAATGAGCTTTGCAGGCTAATCGTGCATTTAGTGAAAACCAGCTGTAACAATGTTAAGGGCCAGAAGCCTGGGGCCAGCAAGCCCTGATCACTTAACAGTCAGGCTGACTTTCCATGACTTTCCACCATCTCCAGACTTCTGCAGACAAGAGCTGAAAACAAGGGCTTGAGAAGGCAGCTCCTCTGAGGGGCTTTCTCACTGACATCTCCACACCAGAGAGATGGCCTGGGGAACCCTGAGAGGAGTGAGGGATGTGTCTGGTGAAGATGATTAACCAGCAGAGAGGCTGTGAGATGTTCCTGTTCGGAAGAGTGGGGCTTTTTAGGACTATAAAACTGGGGTGTGGGAAATGAACTACATCTGGGTCTTCTATTGGGGATTATTTTAACTGTTTTGACAATAAACCTGCCCAAAGTAGGGGTATTATTTAAGAAACAGAGCCAGATATAAAGTCAGTGGAAAGGAGAAACTGAGGCAGGCACTCCTTATACCATAACCTGCTGCAAGGGCTGTTCTAGGAGGGGCTCCCTCTAAGACATCAGCCCACTTTGTTTCTCACAGCCCACCAAACAAACACAAGTGAGCCACAAGTTTTACCCTCTTGTGGGTTCAGATGCATCCACAAGTCACTATCCCAATAAGCCTTCACTGCTCCTAGGGCTTTGCAATCCATCATGTCAAAAGCCTCTGACCCTGATAAATGCAAATTTGCTTAGCTCCTGCAATACGGGGCCCATAGGCAATGTGCAACAACCAACAATGGCAACTCCCCACTCTTTCTGAGAACCAGTGGGATTTTAATTGTTTCGAGAAGAGCTTTCTTTGTTTCCATGCAGGAGGAAGAGAGCTATTGAAAACTCAGCTTTACCTATTAACGCTTGAAAATTGTCCAAGTCATAACAAAAGGAAGATAAAACAGAGTGGGAGTTTTTCCTGCCAGGTAATCATAGCTGCATTATCCTAGTGCCTATGATTAAGTGCAAGATGATGCTTTTGCATATGTCTTTCTCCCTCCCCCAATCACAGATATTAGTTCAAATACATTTTTGACAGGGAACGCCCACCCCGTCTTTTCTCCCCCACCCGCTAAAAATATGCCCCAGGTATTCTCTTTGTGGTGGGCGGGAGGAGGTGACTGGGATCAGCTGCACAGAGCAATCAGAATGAGATTATAAACTCAAAGGAGGAGGGTCCTCTCGTACTCTGTTGCAGCACCTCACACAATGGGTCTTCAGTCCTGATTGCTGGGAGATAAACACTAATTGGCAAGATGTCGTTTTGTGATGAGTTTTCTGGATAATTTGAAGCATTTCATTGTCATAACATAGTCCACCTTTAGTGCTGAGGCTGTACATGCATCCTGTGAGCAAGGCTTTGCCTCTGAGAGTGGAGCTATGGAATGAGCTATGGAACCTTCCACAGATAGTATGTGTTCAGTCTGGAGCAGCAGTGACTCAAAGTCATTCCCATCTTGTTGGCTTCATGATGGCTGGTATTAAAAGAGTTCATGTCCTCCACCTAAGTACCAGAAGACATAAGAACATAAGAACGGCCATACTGGGTCAGACCAAAGGTCCATCTATCCCAGTATCCTGTCTGCTGACAGTGGCCAATACCAGATGCCCCAGAGGGAGGGATCACAATAGGTAATCCTCACATGATCCCTCCCCTGTCACCCACCTCCAGAGAAACAGAGGCTAGGGACACCATTCCTACCTATCTGTGAATTAATATAGCTCTTTTTCAGCCTTCATCACATCCTCTGGCAAGGAGTTCCACAGGTTGACTGTGTGCTGAGTGAAAAACCCCTTCCTTTTGTTTGTTTTAAACCTGTTGCCTATTAATTTAATTTGGTGACCCCTTGATCTTATATTGTGGGTATAAGTAAATAACTTTTCCTTATTCGCTTTTTCCATACCAGTCATGTTTTTATAGACCTCTATCATATCCCTCCTTAGTCTCCTCTTTTCTAAGCTGAAAAGTCCAAATCTTTTTAATTTCTCTTCATGTGGGACAGATTCTAAACCCCTAATCATTTCTGTTGCCCTTTTCTGAAACTTTTCCAATGCCAATATATCTTTTTTGAGAAAAGGCGACCCCCCTGTATGCAATATTCAAGATGTGGGAGTACCATGGTTTTTTGTAGAGGCATTAAGATATTTTCTTATTCTCTATCCCTTTTTAATGTCTCCTAACATTCTATTTGCTTTTTTGACTGTCGCTGCACACTGAGTGGATGTTTTTTTAGAGAACTATCCACAATGACTCCAAGATCTCTCTCTTGAGTAGTTGTAGCCAAATTAGTCCCCATCTTAAAGTATGTATAGTTGAGATTATTTTTTCCAATTTGCATTACTTTACATTTATCACCAGCAGATAGGCAACAAGAGTCAGAAATGTCGATGGCAGTAGAAAGGCTGAAAGTACAACAGGGATTAGAGTTGGAACAAACCAATTTGGTCACCTAGTTAATTCCCTGCCAAGGAAGAATGGCCTGTGGAGAGGGGCAACATGCTCTAGTTGGACTGTGCACTCAGTTGGTCGTTAGGCATCCTGTATTCTGTTCCCAGCTCTGCCACTGACTCACTGTGTGATCTTGGGCAAACCATGACTCTGCTCAGTGCCTCACTTTCCCTGTTTTTACTGACCTGTAAAAAATGCATTGAAAACAATGGATTAAAAAGTGCTGTTGTAACAGGCCTGGACACCAAAACATACTCTTGCTGAAATGCCTTGCTGAGGGTTGGTATGGAGAATGAGGTGCTTGAATAGAGCAAGAATAAATTATAGAGGAAAAAAATCACTGTCAGTGGCAAAATTGAGTGCAAAAATAGAAAACAGGTTGAACCCAAAAAATAGCCTTAGTTCACACTATTGCTACATGTGTCCTGTGAAGCTCAACTGACTACTCCCAAAAGCTTGTATCCTCTATAGCATGTGCCTGGTCTTATATAAAACAACCTGGGGTAAATTATTCCTGTATTTGTGTCTACTTCAGGGACATGAAGAATATCTTTCCGGGCTTCACCACAGTGGGGTCAACTCTCCAAATTTTATTACAAATCATACAGTGTTTGGTGGTTTTTCTTAGATCCCCAGCTCCTAGAGTCATGGGATTATGTAAGACTTTGCTTTTGTTCACAAAAAGAAAGATGTTCCTATCCCTGATGGTTGCAGAGAAAAGCAGTGTGCAGTGTGCTCAAAACCCAGAAGGTGAATACAAGAAC